GCGTGGGTTTGGGCGTGGGTTTGGCGTGGGTTTGCCGTAGGTTTGGGCGTGGGTTTGGACGTGGGTTGGGCGTGGGTTTGGGGTGGGTTTGGCGTGGGTTTAGGCGTGGGTTTGGGCGTGGGTTGGGCATGGGTTTGGCGTGGGTTTGGCGTGGGTTTAGTTTTGGCGTGGGTTTGGGCGTGGGTTTAGGCGTGGATTTTGGCGTGGGTTTGGGTTGGGTTTGGCATGGGTTTTGGCGTGGGTTTGGTCGTGGGTTTGGGCGTGGGTTTAGGCGTGGGTTTAGGCATGGGTTTTGGCGTGAGTTTGGTCGTGGGTTTGGGAGTCGGTTTGGGCGTGGGTTTGGGCGTGGGTTTGGCCAAACCCACGCCCAAACCCACGCCAAACCCATGCCAAACCCACGCCCAAACCCACGCCAAACCCACGCCAAACCCACGCCAAAACCCATGCCTAAACCCACGCCCAAACCCACGCCTAAACCCACGCCAAACCCACGCCCACTTGACCAGCGTTTTATCAAGGGCTACTCGAAAGCCGCGCTATTATCTGCGGACGTCTTGCGCATATACGACCTGGTTTTGCCTACACGCATCACTACAGATGCGTCCGGCTATGGCATTGGTGCCGTCCCCGAGCAACACGATGGCATGGGCTGGCACCCGGTCGAGTATTTCAGCAAGAAAGTGCCCATCGTGCACTCCATTGACGATGCACGCAAGGAGGAGCTCCTCGCCTTCGTCCACGTGCTCAAGCGGTGGCGGCACTTCCTCCTTGGTCGAAGCCAATTCCGATGGGTAACGGACAACAATCCGTTGGTCTTTTACAAGACCCAAGACACCGTCAACAGCACCATTGCTCAATGGATGACTTTCATCGACCAGTTCGACTTCTTTACCGATCACATTCCGAGGAAGTCGAACCGTTTTGCGAATGCTCTTTCACGGCGTCCGGATCATTGTACCGCAGTCTATTCAACCTTCGAGATCGACAACGACATGCGGGACAGCTTCATCCGCGGCTACCAAGCCAACCCAGAGTTTCACGACAAGTACGTGAATTGCTCCTCTACTAATCCGGCGCCTTCTCACTACCGGATCCAAGAGGGGTACTTGCTTGTCCACACACGGGGGAAGGACCTTCTTTGCGTACCGAGTGACCCTCACTTGCGTACACGGCTTCTTGGCGAGTTCCACGATTGTCCCGCCACCGGACACTTTGGAGTCAATCGCACAATTGGCCGACTTCGCGAGCGATTTTGGTGGCCCGGCCTTCTCGGAGACGTTACACGCTATTGCGAGGTTTGTCGACGCTGCAAATCCCGCAACCATCGTCCATACGGCGAGTTGCGACCATTACCGGTCCCCTTGCGGCGAAGGGAAGCGATTGCCATGGAAATTACCAGCCCGTTCCCCAAGCACAAGACCGGCGTGGATGGGATTCTCACGGTTGTCGACCGACTCACCAAGTTCGCCATGTTTTTGCCTTGCCGCTATCATGCCAAGGCACCGGAGTTGGCCGAGGTTCTTTACATCGGTTGGATTCGAACCAAGGGTTACCCCAAGGAAATCGTCTGCGACCGCGACACTCGGTTTATGTCCGATTTTTGGTTGGCGCTCATCAAACGATGGGGCTCATCTCTCAAGCCAAGTTCGGCTCGCCACCCTCAAACCGATGGCCAAACGGAGCGGGCGCATCAGACCACACAGGTTCTCCTTCACACTCTCATCCGCCCCGACCAAAAGGATTGGGTTGAGCGGCTGCCTCGAGTTGGCCTACAACTCGTCCATCCACCCGGCTATCGGGATGTCGCCCTTCGAGTTCGAGCACAGCTCGTTGATCACTTTGCCGTTGGACACAATCATTCCACGAACGGCCGAGAGCGACAACCATCTTCTTTTCTTGCGTCGGACGCAAGAGCTACTTGTCAAGGCACGCGACCAGATGGCCAAGACGCAGCAACACATGAGCCAACCGGCCAATCACCAGCGTCTACCTTGCCCATTCCGTGCCGGCGATCTCGTTTGGGTTTCGCCGGATTCAGCCTTGAACAAGATATCTCTCACAAGCTCCTCCTGAAATGGATGGGGCCCTGGCCGATCGTGGCGACTGCTGGGGATGCACCCGAGGGACCTTCCTTCACTATTCAAGTCCCCGCCCACTTGCCCGTCTACCCAGTCTTTCATTGCTCCAAGTTCGCTCTTTACACGCTAGCGGAACATGACGATTTTCCCGAGAGACGTTCGCAAGACCCACCCTCTATGGACGTTTTTCACGAGTTCGGCGACATCATCTTCCAGCGACGCTACGGCAACAGGCCAACCGAGTACTTGGTGCATTTTGCGTACTGCACTCACAAAGTTGACCGTTCGTTGACCCGTGCGGAACTCCAAGCAACAACTCCAGATGTTCTCGCACGCTACGAATGCAAAATGCAAGGCAAGCCGGTATCTTCGGCTCCACACGCGTCCAGGTTCCACCTTCAGATCATCAGCTTCGCCCTCGACCCGGCTTGACTTCATAAGGAGGGGGGGGGGGTTACATTTTGCGCCTGCAACAGGCTGCACGGGCCATTCCCAGGCCCGTGACGTTTTCAGGCCAAAAGCCTGAAAACAACAGCCTACAGGCCCTGTGTCGTTTCAGCCTGAAAGCCTGAAAACAAGGGCCTGCAGGCCCTGTGTCGTTTCAGGCTAAATCAGGGCCTTTCCGGGCCTGAGTGTTTTTAGCCTGAAACCGAGGCCCATTTCCGGGCCCTCATCAGTTCGAACTGCCCTGAAACTCAGGCAACAAACCAGGGTTTTAGCACAGGCCATTTCGGGCCTGTTTTCAAGACAACCCCTGGTTGAGCTTCAACGCCAGGGTCTGGCACGTTTCGGCATTGGCAAGAGCACCCTCCTGGACGGGCCAGCACTATATAGGACTGGCCCGCCCTACAGGCAGGCAGGTAGTTCCTAGGTTCTTCCCAGGCACTTCACGCGCAGTTCAGGAGGCAGGAGGTAGTCTTCACGATTTGACAGCAGCACTCTGGAGGAGCGCTGCAGGAGTAGTAGCAACGTTAGCAGTAGTCTTCAGCGCTGGGCGCTAGTAGCGTTAGCTGTAGTCTTCAGCGTTGGGCGCCATAGCAGCTAGAGTAGTACTAGAGAGAGAGAGATTGGGCGGAGGCCAGAGGGACTTACCTGCAGTGCCGTTGCTCCAGCTTCGTCTTCGAGGTACCTGCAGCACAGCGCCATCTTCACA